GCCAAGGTTGAGAAACACTGCTTTAAACCCATCCTTTCTGGAAGTCATGCTGGCTGGGGAATTCTGGGAGTTGTAGTCCACCCATCTTCCAGTTGCCAAAGTTGAGAAACACTGCTTTAAACCCATCCTTTCTGGAAGTCATGCTGGCTGGGGAATTCTGGGAGTTGTAGTCCACCCATCTTCCAGATGCCAAGGTTGAGAAACACTGCTCTAACCATTACTCAGCACCCTCTCCTGATGGGCAATGCAGACATCTTGCAACCCTGGCCAGGGGTGGGAGCTAATCTCATCAAAGAAAGAAACAGATTTCCAAACCCTTTCAAAACTGGCATCGGGGAGAACACTGAACTCGAAGCCAGTGTCGGGGAGTTCCCCAGACCGATTCCTCTGGAAAACGCTTATTTTTCCCTCTTCCGCAGCCCCCAATCCACCTGTTTCTTCCCCTTCCTTCATCTTGGGCGAAAGGGCACAACGCCACGCCCTCCCCAAAGGAGATGGCTTCTGCAGGATGAATGCCAACACCTTTTTGCACCGTGCCCGGGGGGGGGGGGCCACTGAGGCTCAAAGGGGGGTGCACCAGTTGGACCCCGGAGGCCGTCACCCGGCGTTGGCAAGGCGGTCCACTGGTCAGGAAAAGCAGAGAATCAACCAGCGGTGGAAACCCAGTTGCTCACCTGGCGTGCTCAGCAAGGTCGGGCACAAGTCTCAGCTCGGGTTTGCAGGATCACGATTCGGGATCTCAGCAAAACCCTCGAAGGGATCCAAATCCAGCAGTCCAGATCAGCTGATGGGGAGACAAGGAGAGGCTGCCCGGGATTTGGGGCTGGTAAAAACAGGGGAAACTGGGTCTGTCTCAAGCTCTTCTCAACACCACCTTTCCAGTTTTCCAAACTGGTTGGGATTCGGCACTGGGGATCTGTGCAAGGCACGGAGTGATCTGCTCCACGACGCTCCCGAAGAAAACTTTTATATCTTACTCATCGGATGACTTCATCTCCCCTCTTCACCTCCCTCTTTTTACAACTGGGTCCAGCCAGTGGGAAGCAGCGAAACAGCAGCCAAGGGGGTGGATTTGCTCTTCTCGTTTTTTCTTCCTTTTCGGCCTCACCCCCCGCCCCGGCCCCCAGTGCAGGTGTCCATGAAAAAAATTAAACCATGCCTTATAAGGACTGTTTGCACCCTCCCTGCTGTGTATCCGCTCAGCAAAAAAATAAAAAAATACAGACCTTTAATTCTCTTCTGGAAAAAAAAAAAGATTCATCAAGAGCTGTGAAAAGACAAGGCAGCCAGAGAGGAGGAAGAAGTGGGGGGCGGGGGGGGGGAATAAAGATGATTTTTTGGACAAGTCAGACAGGACTCATCTCAAACAGACACATTTCCTGTTACAACCCAACCTGGATCACGAATTCAACCCAGCCACCCCATTGCTAATTCGTCAGGTAGACGCTTTCTCGAGGGCATAGCGCCCAACCCCTCCACTCACCAAGAGGACTTGCCTGTCCATTCTTGAGCACCAGCATTTGCGCCCATTTTACAGACAAAGGGAGCAAGGTCGGCGAGAGCAGCAGTGGAGGTCAGACCGACAGATCAGCCGGTCCCCTTCCCCCTCCCCAACATCTGGCTGCAGAGTCTCTACCAGCCGTGGAGCAGACCGACGTCTGGTTCCAAACAACTGCTCTGTTTGGCACTTGGCAACCCAGAAGGTGTAATCAAAGGTTAGAGGGTGAAATCATGGTTTCTCTGAATCACAGTCAGTGGCTGCTTTGGGATGGAAAGTCATGCACTTATTGGCTGAGTTCATACAACAGGGGTTTAACCTGACTTGGTGGGCTTCAGCGCTTTGTGGTTGAAAGCGTCACGCAAACCTGGAACGTTTGACAACTTTGCCTATTGTCTGAACCCTGAAAACTGGGTTTATGCAGAAACCAAGTTAAACAGGATGGTCAGAAGCCTATAATAATGGAACGGTCTACCTACAGAGGTTGTGGGTTCTCCATCTTCGGAGGTTTTTAAGAGGAGGACAGCCACTTCTTAAGGAAGTCCTTGTGCAGGAAAATCAACTATACTGCAGAGGGTTGGTTAGATGACCTCTGGAGTCCCTTTCAATTCTACAATTCAATTCTATAATTCTATCATTCAGTTCTACAATTCTGCAATTCAATTCTGCAATTCTAGAATTCAATTCTGCAATTCTATAATTCAATTCTACAATTCTACAATTCAGTTCTACAATTGTACAATTCACACATGGAGAAAGAGGTTGCCCTCTGCCAATGTCCTTACAAGTCTTTTCTTTCTCGTCTTGTTCAATCCAGCTGCTGCTGGTCATCAAAGAAAGGGGTTTTGCAGAGCGTCAGAAACTCTTGTTTTATTAAGACAGGTTTTCTTCCTCTCCAAGAGGAAAAAAAAGTACTTTGCACATGTTCAAGGGCACGGCTGTTTCAAGGTTCAGAAAAGCAAGTATGAAATCCTTCCCCTGCCTTGAAAGCGGGTGGCCGTTGAAAATGACATCGGTATGTGCTTCTAAACCCATGAAATTTAGGATTCTTGATTCTAAAATTCACAATACAAATATTGCTAACTGAGCCAGCTTCAGCTTGGTTTAAAAAAAGAAATCATTAAGGAATGCTTAATTCATAAACATTGAGACTTTTGGCCCTAATACATGTTATGGACATTTATCATAAACCACGCTCACATATTTAGGGATGATCCAATGGAGGCCAACTCCATAATGGGTGAATATTAATTATTTCTAGGTGAAAGGAAATGGGATGATGCTTAATAGCCCGTTTTTCTCAATAGTTAATGCTGAGTCATTAACACGATGTTCTGACTCAGCACACGCCGTTCCTGAACAAAAGCATTTCCAGGAAGAAAAAATGAAAAGACCCCGTGGATGAACGTGGATGAAATCCAAGCTATTTGGTTCATTTGAGAAGTGTCCGCCAAAAAGTAGAAACAATTCATCTGCCAGATGACAACTCTGAGATATTTTAGGCATTAAAAAAAATTTTTTGGGGATAGCTGGGTTTAAAATCCTGCTGTTCTGTTCGCAGAGGCGCTGTGGCTCCCTCGGACAATTTGCACACTTTGGCACAACGTGCCTGAGCTTTTTCAGATTGTATGAACGAAGCATTTGCTAAAATGCAGATGATATAGAAGCCCTTCAGAGACCAGCTGGAGAATTTAGATCTTTTTATTTTAGCAACCAGATAGCTACGGGGCAGCGGGAAGACATGAATAAAATGAGATTTGGGGAGCAGCCCTCGTTGAACGAGACACTTGGGGCGGAAAATTATTTTTTCGGATACACAATTATTTTTCATTGCAAAAATTCAGTTCTGAGGACTCCATAAGGAAGAAGCAGGGAGAAGCGTCCTTATTGCCAGCTCTCAAGTCAAGGCAAGCAGAATAATTAAGTAAAAATGAAGGTACTTTCTAACCAGTTTGTAAAAAAAAAAAAAATCCAGGCGGTACAATGGAGTGGGAAGAATTTCTGTATTTGATCTCGACAACAATCTTGCAAGGTAGGCCAGGCTGGGAGACGGCAACTGGGTTTGCATGAGATGCTGGTTAACAGAAGCCCGGTTTACTCAATGAACTAGCTTTCAGGGTCAGTTCAACAAGCTGACCAGTTTGTGACTTAGCGCATTTCCATTTTTAAACGCCTTTATTGCCCCGTTAGGTCTCTCGAGTTCAAGGCAGCTGATGTTGGCATCTCCTCGTCGGATCCCAACGACAACCTTGCAAAGTAGGCTGGGCTGGGAGGAAACCAGTCCCCTCCCAATAGTAATAAATAATCCACATACAGGAGCAAGTACAGCCTTACATTAAGGGGCCAAGAAACCGCACCGAGAGGGGTTCGGCACCTGGCCACCCAGATGCAAGATTCCGGCCGGTGGATGATCTCCGAAACGCCGCACGGATTTGGCGACGCTTCCGCCTTCCACCCAGCCCTGGAAAAAGGAGATTTGTCCTCCCTCACGCTCCCCCGGCGAGGTTTCCTTAGAAGAAGGTAGAGGTTTTGTCACGGAGAAATGTTCCGGACTCCCAGCCAAAGGTCTCGGCCGCAGGCCGGGTTACGGGGCTGTGACGCACCGGTGCTGAAATTGACTAATGCGTCCCAGTGAGTGGTTGGCAACAGAGGGGTGACGACGCCCTTCTCCGGTGGGTGGGGAGCAGTGGGGGTCACATCCAGCCCAAGGCTGGGCGAATACCAGGATTTACTCGTGGTTTCAGGAATGCAGACGGCTCTCCTCCCAGAAAGAGCAAGCAAAGGATTGGACGGGCTGGATCGTTCCCCACTCCAAGTTAATTGAAAAAAATAGCTGCCTGGGCGGGACCCTCTGTTTCCTCGTAAGTGACTATTAATCAGAAAAACAGTACATTTATACCGAGGAACTTATTACCAATAGCCCTGGCTGCCTGTGCAAGGTCCAGACCTGGAGAGAATCAAATTTGCCATTTGAGAGAGGCCGAATTAGACTTTTTAAAATTTATTCTGGCTGAACCCCGCGTGGCCTTCCCAAAAAAGCATTCTTGCTCGATTCAGATTTCCAACAAACATTTCCCCGAGTTTTTTTTTTTTTTGCCCTTTCCCCCAAGCAACCCTTGAGGACTAGAAACTTGTCTTTACGTCCTGAGCTTCAAAACTGCTAGGTTTCAAGGGGGCTTCTTACCCAGGCCTCCGTGCCCTCTTGAAACCTAGATGTGGTATTGAGCCGTTTCTATCTGGTTTCTGTCAACACCAGGCTCGCCTTCTGTTTGCAAATTACTCAGCAGGTTTGCAGAAGGATTTGCAAAATGCATACCAGCGGGGGGAAAAAATCGCCTAGCAGTTTTAGATGCAGAATTTAGTTTCAAGATGCCTGTACTTGCATTTTGAAAAAGTAATACATTGTTCCCTTTCCTCTTGGGACCTCCGTGGTTGTGTAAAGTAAACTCCTATAAAAAGAAGAAGGGAAAAATTGGCCGGATGCAAAGACGCCCTGTGGCTTGCCTGTGATTGAATCCACACCTTGTGTAAACCCAGCCATCTGGCGCTTGTGAAACAGCGTGCGCTCCCAAACAAAATCTAAAATAATTTCACGCTTCTTTGGCCCTGCAATCTTGGCTGAATTTGCCTGGTCCAAAGTGTCTCCCTGCGTGATCCCCGTTACCGTAAATAACCACGGCTAAGCCCCTCTGCCGGGAGGCCGACCCTCCAAATTTCAACCCAAATTCCACAAAAAATCCATCAGCCAAAGATAAGCCGACCCTTGCCTTTTTAACCACAGTGTCAGGCGGCAAACGGCAAACCGTGATATCATGGCTGACAAAACCCCACAACGTTAAGCCAGGCTTTTAAAAATCTGAGCTGTGGCCCGCAGACAAGCCGAACCCAATTTTGGAGATGTATTTTGGAACCTGAACTTCTTGGCTTATCCGTGAATATATACGGTATATGCCTCCTCGACTGCAAGACCTCCCAATTCCCATTCTCCAGAGGAAGGTTTATAATCACAAGATGGACAGCAGACTGTTGGTTAGTGATTCGTAGTTCAACTTTTATTTAACTTACAGTGTTTCTTGGTAAGGAGAAGGTACTGGAATGTAAACATTAAGCGTGGAGTAAATGCAGCCCTCGGGAGAGGAAGGCCTGTGGCGGGCTACTGAGACTGCAAAGTGAGGTTCCTGGCATGATTCGCACCCAAGCCTGCTCAGGAACTGGAGCAGCTGCTTCTCTGACGGATCTCTGAGCCTGGGTTGAGGGTCTTGGTCAAGGGGGGCAGCAGATCCGAGCCATTCCCCTCCAGGGAAGTGGTGGGAAAGTTGACCTCAGCAAGCAGAGAACCATCATCGAGAGAGTCATAATCTGCCTCTGTCAATAGAAGAAACCCCCCAAGAATCAGGATCCGATCGGAAGGAGGGTGGGGAACATTATCCGCGTTGACCTGGAGACCCCAAAACTTCAAATCACGTAAACCATCGGTTTTCTTGGGACGCTTTGCACAGAGGCAAAGCTGGATTTTGGAGATGCAGGACGGAAAGGATCTCAAAGCTTTGGACCTTTGGGGTGCAGAAGACTTTTGAAGATACGACCGACTGGCCAGAAAACAAGAAAGATCAATTGCAGGATGGAGAGATCAGAGCAACGAAGACCACCCCCCACCCGAGGGATCCCAAAGGACTCGCGGAAGACCCATCCTTCTGAAGAAAAGCCATCTGGAGTCAGGAATTTGACCCCAACTTAATGACATTTAATCAGCCAACAGCAAATGGACCCTCTAAAGCAGAAAAAGAATGCTTTTTTTAAGCAACTAACTTTTACGAAGCATAAGGTTAGATTTACCAAACCAAGCCAACCACTTTAGAGCGAATGGAACCAACTTTGCCAGATCTCAGAAAGTGGAGAATTTAGGAAACTCTGCAAAGGAAATTCTAGGGGTTTGTCCGGCAAAATCTGGGGGTCTTTGCCGTACAATGCAAAAGAGACAGATTTTTTTTTTTAAAACTGATCCACGGGGGCAGCGTATAAAATTGCTCCTGAAGCCACTTGGGTGGCATCGATCTGCATTTATGAATTCGACAGCAGGTACGTCTCTGAGCGCCGAAGATGAGCCAAGCTAACCGTGCCGTGAGATTTTGCACAACGCGAGTCCGTCTGAGAAGGTTGGGGAGAAGTTGGTTCTTTGCATTCAAATGCAAAACCGAAAAGCGAATAGAAAAGCAAGTGCGAGGCGTGGAAAAATTGCAAATCACCTTCATTGGAGCTGGGGCCCAGGCTAGATTCTGTTCCAAAATCCGATTTTCCAAGGCTGCTTTTCTTTACCTGTGTTGTAGGAGCTACACAAGGGGAATAAAATTGAGAAAATGAAAAGTTAAGGTTAAGAAACAGGTGGGTGTTACAGGAGCAAAGAAAGATTTGAAGTCGCTGTGATTTCGTTCTGATTTATACTCTCATAGCTAGGCTAACACAATGTCCGAAACATTAAACCATGATTTAAGCAGAACAGGGTTATCGAAGAGACCCCAGGGAACAACGGAGCAGATCAAGGCCTTTAGGATTTCTTTCTCTCTCCACAAATCAAAGCAGAAGTTTTCAAATGAGGGCCTGCCACCTAACCCAACAAAACCCTGCAGAGGAATCAAGAATATGGATGAATATGAATATTGACTAATCGAGAATCTTGAGATTTGGGATTCAAAGAAAACCATTAAGGAGAGGAAAAGCATTTGTAGGCAAGAGGATCAAAAACTGTAAAATGCTTGGATTTTTGGACTGTTCCAAGGAAGCAATTTTATTGTTCCTCGAGATGGATCCGGGATTTGCCGAAAGGGGAAAGAGAGTTTAAAAGTAACGCACCTGTCTTGGGCAATTTTTCTCCTTCAGCAACTCCCACATCTTCTGGCTGTGGCAGAGGAGTCTCTTCAGAGGCTGCAAAAGGGGGGGGGGGAAACTCATACATCTTGCAAAATCACAATTTACTTCCGTTTATGGGATCAAGTGCAATCTTTGACTGCCCTTCTCACTCCCAGCATCCTTAATCCTGCCACTCTGGTTGAGATTCCCAGCAGCCAGTTTATTTAAACCAGCCTACAGACCATAACATAATACTGGGAAATATCCACATTGATATAAACTTCCCTCATCATAGCCCTCCATATCCCTAGATACATTAAAATCCATTTGCTTCTTTATCCTAATAACCCCAGCTAACATTTTTGCCACCGCTAGAGTCCCTTGAAGAATTTAATCACAAAGAAGCTATTGAATGTAAAATGGATGAACGTCCAAAAAAGAATGTTAAAATGGGATTTACCGACAGTACCAATATTTAGGTAGGGGTTAGCGGTTGGGGAAATACAGGGAAGGGGAGAACGCGTTACCCCAAAGTTTATTTTTTTCATAACGTTTTTATTTTGGTTTGGTTAGTAGCTGTTTCTCTTCTACTTTGTTCTTTATATCTTTATTCTTGGGTGAGTGTCGTTCTGTCAAAGCTTAAGGGATCAAAAAAATTAAAATGGGATTAACCAAACCCTTACGCAAACGGAGATAAAAGCTACAACAGAGGGGCGTATGCTCCGTTGACTCTATGTCAAGGAAACGCTCTTTGATTGATTAATTTTTCATTTATTTCTCATAGTTATCGGACGGCCCGTCTCCCAGGACGGGAGTTGCTAATTCCCTTATATCTCCCCCATAACGTCTGAGAGGGGAAGATCTTTAGTCCTACCAAAAGCCCGTCTGTATTTAAATGCAGGGAGATTATTAACACAAGGGGTTAAGGAAAAGGGTTTCGTATAACTTATATATATGATTATATATGGGGAGCAAGAGATTTCAGCTGTTACGTGCAAGGCCTGGTGGGGGAATACAGCTGTAAGCCGCACATCTGGAGAAAGCGGAATGACGTCCAACTTTTGCAAAGCGAGACCCTCTCGTCTGGTCTTACAGCCTCCAAACCCCGCCATCCCCGGATTTTGCGTCTTCTTCCCTTGGGGGTTGAACCAAGAGTTGTTAAAAAGGGTCTGATCGCAAACAGCCTTACCATCTTTAGGAAACAGAACCTGTCGACGTGAATCTTCCAAGACTTGTACCGCTCCAGATTTTTCCTGACCAGGTATCTGTTTGGAAATGAAAAAAAATAATGTGAATTTTTCTTTCATTCGGACTCCGTTCCGCAACAGTGGATGAGTGCTTGCTGAGTTCATTTCAAGTATAGTCACAGCTTATTCCTTTACCCAAACACGGATAATGGTGGTGGAAGTAGAGATCAACAATTCATGCAAGGTTTTGGGGTTTACCTGAGTTTAAGGCAAACAACTTTAGCTCTTACATGACGTGTAGAGGACTGGCAGGGCAAGGCTGCTTCAAATAAATCTATTTATCTTTCAAGAAGGGATAAGTCAGCGCTCACATCATTCTCCTAACCAAAATTGGTCAGACTGCTGGACCCAAAGGTGACAATTTTATTTTTCATGTGCTTATAATTAGGCGCGGTGCAAAATCATTAAATACCATTTAATCGTATTAATGGCGGGAGCCTGCTTAATAAAGGGAACTTTAGAAAGCAAGCTGATTACAGGGAGAGTAGCAGGAATTATCGGTAAGGAGCAATGACATGTATTAAGTCAGCTTCACAATTTCATATTTTCAGATGTTTACATTCTTTTGAAGTTGGGAGTTGATTTCTGGACAAAGAAAATAGATTTATGGTCAAAAGACTTATTCTTCAGCATCAGGATGACAAATATACGGATCCACCATTCAGCGGTTTGCAACATGGATCCGCAACTGATAACCAATGAATCACGGCTCCAATGTATTGATATATAAATATCTATCTTTGGATCGATATCGATATACTTTCTTATGTATTTTTGTTCTTTTCCGCTTTCCCCTCCTCCTTCTTTGACACAATTTGTGTTTTTTCCTTCCCTTTGCATTTTGCATTTCGTTCGTAAAATAGAGATTCATTGGGAAAACATTGTAAAAGAGGGGGGAAAAAAGAGAGAGAATAGCAGGAATTCAATAGCCTTGGAGAAATGTCTTGAGCTAAGCTTTAGTAAACGATGGGATGGGAACTTTAGTCTAAAGCTGGCCAGAATGGCTCCTTATCTGCAGATAAAGGGAGAATGTTTGTACAGAAAGCAGGGGCTGTGAATCTACAGACCCTTTCTCAGCTAAAAGGGGGTGTGCGTGTGCATGTAAGTGTGTGCGTGCAGGTCACGACAGACAAACCAACCCTCATCCCAGCAAACCCACCTGGACAGAGAGAGTTTCTTTAGGCCACAAACTGCCCCAGATCCATTGCAGGTAGCTGAAGAGGACGATGACGCTCAGGAAAGTGAAGTTGCTTACCACCCCCAAAATGGCAGACGTCACGGGGAAGTTGTAAAGAAGGTACCTGCGGGGCCCAGGATAGGAAGAAAGGTTGGTTAAAAGTCCACGCTCCCACGCTTCTGGGCCTTTTGTTCCTTAAATTAAATTAAAGCCTTAGTGGCTGAATTTTGGCTCGGCTGACTACGGCGGGGTTCCCGTTGGTCCCGACTTCTCCTTTGTTGTCATCGGGTTTTTACGTTAAGTCAACGTGAAATGATCCAGAAAACGAGAGTGGGTTAGAAGCTAGAAGCTGGAGGGGACCTTGAGCCGGTCAGTTTCTCTCAGCCCTAGGGCGGAGGCAATGGCAAACCACTTTGAAAACCCTTGCCCAGAAAACCGCAGGGGCTCGTCCGGGCAGTCTCCGAGAATCGGACACGATGGAATGGATTAAAAAAAAAGGTAAAATGCAGCTTGTTTGCCTGTTGATTGATTTGGCCGCCGATTTCCACGTCGTTCTCAGCCAATAACGCCACGCCTCCAGGATATTTTATGATGGCTCCCTTATTCCTTTCATCCCCTCCTATTTTGTGTGTTTTTAGTTTTTTACGTGGAACTGTTTTTATGTACAGTGGAACCTCGGGTTACGAACGCTTCTGTTAACGAACTTTTCGGGTTACGACCAGCTCCGGCCACAAAATTTTGCTTCGGTT